ATCGGCGTCATCTCTGTCAACAAGTCTGTCATTGACAAATTTTAAGACTGCTCTTTGTAATGTTTTATGGTTCTTGTCATATTCCCAGAAACAGAACTTTAGAACAAATTCACCTTTCTTGTTGACACTATGTAAGATTTTATGGTCTACAGATGTTTTGCTGTCAAAAAGCTTGTCTCGAATATAGATAGCGAAATCGCTAGACTTTTTCTAAAAGATAAAAATTTTAATTTTCTAAAAATATGTTAGAAAAAAATTTGCTGACATTGACAAGAAATTTGAGAATGTTTTAAACAAGAACAAGAGGAAGTTAGAAAATGCTCAGATAAAGCCTATACATGACAAGTTCTTATTTGCTCAGAATGGTATAACAGGTCTAATTGCACCACCTGGGTCGGGTAAGACTTTCACTTATCTTAAAATGGCTGCACAACAACAAGAACTAGATGAGAAGAACCCATTCTATGAGTTAGTTGTTATTTGTTCGACTTCTGGTCAATTTGACCAAACCGTCAATTCGTTCAAAGATATTATAAAGAAGTCTAAGTTAGTATGTATAAAGGATACTGAGTTGTTAGATTGGATAAAGAAGTACCAAAGAAGGGTTTTGAAGTACAATGCTATAAATGAGTATATAAATTCTAAGTTTAAAGACCCAAATGAGGAAATGCAGAGAATATTAGAGAAGAAACACTTCAGAAACAAACAGAAAGAGATAGAATACATTTCTAAGAAATTGCAATCTTACGATTGGAAGACTTACCCTCATAGGTGTCTTCTTATCTTAGATGATTTCGCCTCTCATCCTTTGTTAAAGAATAGAGAACAAGATATGTGTCGAATTCTTAAGAAGCTCAGACACTTTAACATCTCAGTCGTAATATGTGTACAGACAGCAAAGAGTTTAAGTAAGGATGTTAAAAGAATATTTACTGACATAATACTTTTCCCCGGATTGTCCGAAGACGATTTCATGGAACTTATGAAAGAGTCCATGGCAGGTAAGTTTGACAGACATGAACTCTGGGAGAAGTATAAAGTCATACAAGACCCTCATACTTCTTTCAGAATTCATATCTACGCAAACAAAGTTCAAATTGTAAAAAGTCAAGCTTGAAAAATCTAAGTGTTTAGTCTTAGTAAGATGGTAGCTTCTTAAAGCAAATACCATTGCTGAGTTTTATGTACGTGAAGAGAAGTACAATGAATTCAATTACGAGTACAATTGCAATGACAACTAAGGCAACTATTTTTGTCTTTTGCCAGCAAGGGTACTTCTTCTCTTCCAATGGTTCGGCAGAACTATACTCACTCATGAGAAATGCCAAAACGGTTTAATAGAAAAAGTGTCATTTTTTTCATGTCCGAAGACTCGAAGGTGCAACACTTCCAAAATACCGACGAACTCAGAAGAGCAGCATGGCAGTATGTTCTTGACAACTTCTTTGAGTTCTCCAGGTACACCTTGGAAAATGCTGAAGAACTCCGACACAGAGAATTTGGAGAAATTGCACTCCAATACTACCTTGACAAACAAAGGGTAAATTAAGACTAAAAACTTAACGTTTAAAAAGTGACATTTTTATGAGCTCCGAGTCACCGAGAAAACTTGGTCAGATGTTAGCAGCTTACTTCCCTGAGGAGGATGGAAGCGTTACATACATCAGGTTCAAAAACAACGAACCTGGAATTGCGTACCAAATTCGCAATTACATGACCATGGAAGAGTACGAAAGGTTTCTACAAGAGAAACCAGCTCTAAACAACTCAGAAAAGAAAGAGTAAAAAGTTTAATTCGTAATTGTTTATTTTTTTACTTGTAAGGGCAAGCTGCAAGTATGAAGTCGACTATCTCCGTCTTTGTTTTGACGAGCTGGACGGCTCTTGCGAGTACGCCTGTTTTGCGGTCTCCAGCTGGTGTCTGACCTTCGTAATTGCGCATGTTCTTGAGAGCTCCAACTGTAAATGGTTGTAGGATGAAGAGTCTCTCAGACTGCTTGAGGTAGTCTTCACGGTCACGAACCGAATCTGTGGTACGAGTCGAATCGGTCGATTTGAGGGAAGAGACTGAAAGCCTGTCGTCTTCCATTGGAGCTGTAGCATACTCTTTGCGTAAGCGGTTCAGACCTTCTTCGAAGTCTTGGTCTCTCTTCGATTGAGATTGGAATTGGAATTGCTGAGGTGGAGCTTGCTGGAACAACCAAGGGTTGGGGAAGTAAGGCATAGGCTGAGGAGGGTAGTTCGGGAAGCCTTGTGGTGGGTAGTAACCTTGAGGTGGAAATTGGTAGTAATTCGGAGGTACTTGCTGGAACTGAGGTTGCTGAGGAGACTGTTGTGGTTCTGCAGCTTTCGGTTCTTCTGGCTTTGGAAGGCATTCAGGAAGAGGAACGTCAGTCATCCGTTTGTGTCCTGTCGGAAGGAAAAATTTTTCCTGTCGGATGGAAGAACTTTTTCTGTCGGAAGGAAAAACTTTTTCTGTCGGAAGGAAAAACTTTTTCTGTCGGAAGGAAAAACTTTTTCTGTCGGAAGGAAAAACTTTTTCTGAAGTTCGACCAAAAAGTTCTCAATTTTCGAAAATTTGAATGGTTTACGGACGGACAACTGGAAGAGTTCTTCCTGTCGTCGGGAAAAATTTTTCCCTTTGTCGGGAAAATATTTTCCTGTCGGATGGAAGAACTTGGAATGCAAGAAAGACTTGACGAGGCAATTTACCTAATTGAAATTAACGACTGCGTAAAAGACTACTTGCGCAAGGTAATGAAGCCCAAGGTCAAGTTCATCACTATTTCTGGAAGGTCTACACTTCAGCTCGAGACTTCGACTGGAATTCCAATTCAAATACCAGACGGGACAGCCTACGATGGCATAAAGGACGCCAAAAGAGAAGCTCTTGTTAAGTTCCTAAACAAACGTCCTTGGATAAAAATACCAAACAAGGAGAACCCCATACCCCATATGAAATTGGCAATTCAGTCTCTCCTTCACTTCTCTGGTCAACCATTCTTTATAACTACAGAAGGCGACATTCAGCCAGTTCAGTAAACATCTCATTTTAACTCACTTTTTTATGTTTTTACTCACACTCGTACTCACCAGGTATGAGTACAACTATTTCAACTGTGAACCTTGTATTGACCGGTCTTCCTGTAAATGCAAGTTTGGTCAATACACAGTTTATGGTGGCAAGAAAGACAGTGGGGAATGTTATTCTGACATCTGTTGTTGCGCTCGAGAGAGAATTGAAATTCCAGACCCAACTCCAACAAGAACTCTCAAGTTGCCAAAGACTCATGTGAAGAAGAAGTCATATAACAAAGCACTTATAGCCATCTATATGGCACGTTTAGAGTAAAAACATTTTTTTTCATTTTTTGAATGAAGCAAGTTAAATTCGTCCCACACCAATCTCAATGGACCGATGAAGAGTTTCAAGCCATGGTTGAAGGCGTTGAGAACGACATAGACGGCGAACTTGAAGGAGCTCAAACCACAATTGCAACCAAAATTGCAGAAGTCAAGGAACAGATAGCTCCACTTAAAGCTACCAAAGCTACTCTTGACCTCATGGATACTTACCGTTTAGAAGTAAAGAGTGGAATAAGACAATTAAAATTGAAACTTCTAAACTACGAAGCTATACTCCAAAAGTTAGCAGAAATGAGAAGACTTTACCAGAGCTACTTACATGTAAGGGACTTACCTTCAAGCAGTCCGACCAAAGCTGAATTTTCTGACATTGTCCCAATTTTGTCCGAAAGTCAGCTCAGATGTTTTGAACTGCTCCCAACATATCCAGAATATGAAAATTTGCCTGAACTCTTTCGGTTCCTCAAAAAACGTTTTTTGGTTCTCATGTTCGAAACTTTATCGGAAGAGACAACAAACGTTCAGAAGAAGAGCAAGATATTATCTTAAACTTGTTGTATGACTTAACTGTCATAACCAGCTTTTTGAAGTAAAACCGTCATTCTCAAACCACTTCATTTTTTCGATGTCCGAACAAGCACCGAAGCCAAACTCAATGGAAGATGTCCTTTCAAGGTTGCCAGACAAGCGGCCAGTTCAACTTCAAATTATGAATTTGAAAGCTCATCTGACAAACACCATTAAGACTCTCCAAAGTAGTCTTATGACAGAGATGACCAATCTCAAAGCCGATGTCCTCATGAACCAAGCTTCCAATGAGAAAGTCCTGAACGATTTCTCAGAATCGTTGCGCAATTACGAGAGAGAGAACCGAGACCTTGCCAGACTCATCTACCGTTTCTTCGAAGAGATAGACGCCATCTGGAAGGTACTCGGAAAGGACAGAACATGCAACACCGTACTTCGTGAGTACCAAATTGAAGAAGGAATTGTCGAGGAAGAAGAAGAAGAGAAACACGAAGAAGAGGAAGTTTGGGCAACCCTTGTTGCCGATGACGCTTACGAAATTCCCCAACCCTACCCATACCAAATCCGCAACAAGGAGACAGGCAAGGTTCTTACCCCAGTCCTCAACAACTTGGGACACTTGAACCTTAACCTTCGGAATCGCGGTTCAATCTCCATGGGCAAGCTTGTCGCAATTCAATGGGTTCCAAATCCAGACAAGAAGACGAAGGTCAGACACATTGACGGTGACAAGCTCAACAACCATAAGGAGAACCTCGAGTGGTTCTAAGAGTAAAAAAATTATTTTAGGGGGAAACCCCAAGTAAATTTAAGTTTTTATTTTTGGTATTGGTACCAATTTTGGAATGTAAAGACCACATCCCAACCTCTGTACGTGAGTCTTGGGTCCACGTCTAAGACCCTTCTGTAGCAATTCCAAGCCCGAGCAAATTCAATTGTCAACCACTCGTCTCCTCTGTAGTCTTCAATCCATTCTTTGAAGAGACGGTTGAGTTCGAGCCTGGAATATCTCTTGCCTGGGTCCGAGACCAACATTTGGTTGAACTGGACGAAGCGCTCAGGGATGTACGCCATTAAAAAAAATGTCACTTTTTTGAAAAACGTTTTTACTTCATGCAATGTTTTATTTCTGTGCCATCTTCAAGTATGCCCCAATATTTCCTTTTCGATATTACATGAACTTCGGAAAATACCTTATCTAGCTTAAAACAGCCCATCTTTTCACCGACTAAACCCATTTCAATGAGTTTGTTATAGCCTTCTTCGTTCGTCATGAGTGCGTCAATGTTCTCATAGTAAACCTTGACTTTCGATTTGACTTCGGAGAAGAATTTGTTGTACTCGTCAAGGACTGCCTTTGCGAACTGAGGGTAAGACCAATGTTCGACAATAGGTTTTAATGTGGTTACTAAGCCACTTTGACCTTGAGTGAATTCGTACTTCAAAACAAAAGGAGAAAACCTTTCAACAAAGTTGTCGACCTTCTCATAATGTTTACTCTTCATCTCTTGAGGTTTCTTAATGGAATATCCCCATGTCGAATTCATAAGCAATTTGAGTGTCATTGCAAGTTTGGGGTTTGAAGCTTTCCTAATATCATACAGTTGTTGTATGACTTTTCCAACTGTATAGTTCCTTCCCGGGAACTCACCATCTTCGTTTGGAATTCCAGTCGGAATATATTGGACAAACCTCATGTATGCAGCGTTAAGGTCGACATAGTATATCTTTTCATCTGAGTCGAACTTGTCGCAACCAATTGGTCCAGTTTGTGGAAATTCAAGTGAGTCTCTTATCTTCTGAGAAACTTCTCCTGTTATCTCATAAACATCGTCGAAGCAACCTGTTTCATATAAAACCTTCTGACCTAACTCAGATGCTCTCCAATACAATTTGACGTCAATTGGATGTCTCAATGGAAGTTTGTTTATAGCATCTTGAAGTTCTTGCAACCTCATTGGAAGTTCTTCTGGTTCAGGTTGGTATCCGAACATACCAACTCCTTGTGGAACTGTGTACTTCTTTTGTACTAGAACTTTGTCTGGAACAACTTTTGGTCTTGCTAACAATGAAAAGTTTGTTTCGTCTTTTGGTACAAAAGTTTCTGTCAGCTTGTCATCTGGAATTGGTTCCAACAAACCTTTCTCGAAAAGAATGTTTACAGCTCTGACAATGTTGCACTTACTTTTACCAAAGAATGGGTTTGTAAGACTTTCGTTCAACATGAAGTGGTTGTGGACAATTACAATCTTCAACCATGGTAAGTCTTTGTCAACAACATAGTCGTCATGTGAAGAACCTTTAGCTGTAGGTATGTTGACTCGGATATTGACATTTGCCAACGGTGCAATTTTTGCCAATTGACCTCTGAGAATGTACCTTGTCTTCACACATGACTCAAGATACTTCATCTTCTCATCTGTAACAAGACCAGAGTTCCTGAGACATGTAAGAATGCAAGGTTCGTTGACAATTGTTTCAATTGAATTGTAAATTCCATACCTTGTCAAGTCAATGTCAGACTTATTTATGAACGGGAAGTATCCAGCATGTTGTCTGACTGCTTGAGGGTTAGGTTGGTACCATTCGAACTTGACACTTGCAATTCCTTCAATTGCATTCAAAATGTCTGAGTCGGAGTCAACCATTTGTTCTCTCTTTGTAGTCTTGAAAGCGTCAAGAAGTTTTGCGGCTGTTTGTTCATTGCCATGTGCATAGTAAATGTGACCATCCAAATCTGTTATGGTCAATCTGAGATTGTGTCCTTTCTTATTTCCGTCTTGAATTGCAGCAAGTACTCCCATGAAGCCTTCTTTGTTCTTTCCTTCGTCAAAGTTTACTGTAAAGGTTCGACCAGATGTAATTTGACTTCTAACTTCACGATACTTTTCATATGCATATCTTGTTCTTTCCATGGGAGCATGTGCGTCTTCACCTTTTCCTTTTTTCCTTCTCAAAGGATGCAATTGTTCGTCATGTTTCCAGTAGAATCTGGCAAAGCCGTCGTGTCCTTCAACTTGAGGTTCACTAACATCGAAAGGCATGTCCATAAGACGTTCTTCTTCTAACCTCTCTAGTCTGTTTGGATAATTGGCACGTGCTGTTTCCAAATCCATTTCGTAGCGAAGACCAGACAATTTGTCATAGACTTTTATGGGTCTTCCCTTCCTATATTTAAAATTCTTCGAAACTCTCCAACCATATCTTTGTAACTCTGCTTTTATTCTAGCAGACTTTCTATCCATTCTATATGGGGGCATTTTTATAAAAATAAAAAATATTTTTTTCTTTACTTTACATAACCGCCTGCTGCCATAAGTCTTTGACGCCAACCCATACCAGCTAATGAAGGTTGACTTGGTTTAGTTTGGAAACTAAACTTTGGTTTTGGTTTATCTTCAGTTTTTGGTTTTTCTTCTTCTATCGGTTTTTCGTCACTTTTCGGTTCCTCTGACTTTACTTCACTTGCAGGAACAGTTGTGTCGTCAACATCTTCATAAATATCATATGCCATTTGTTTTTGTTTTCCTTTCAACTTTTTGTGTTTGTTGTAAAGTTTAGAATATTTCGACTCTAAGTCAATGAGATGTTCTATAATGAACTGTTGGTCAGTGAAGTAAACTTTTCCATCTGTTGTCTCGAAAGCTCCTTCAGACTTCAATATTTTATTTGTGAGAGTCTGTTTCTTTTTTGAGATACTAGCCGTTCCATTTCTATGAAAAGTGACTTTATAGTTAGGGTTTGTATTTCCAGACCTGGCACTTTCTATTATTGAATTTTTCTCTTCATCTGTAAGTTCTTTGACAGGTTTTGACAATGGTTCTGAACTTTTTGTTTGTGGTGTCAAATCTACCGTTTCAACTTCTTCGGTCATTTCATCTCAGTAAAAAATTTTAGTTTGGTTTGTTTTCAACTGGTTGTTGTTGTGGAGGTGGGATGGTTCCTTTAATAATATCATTCAGTTTCACATGCTGAGCCTGACTATATGGTATCGGTTTAAATGCTGGAAGCCGACAAATCCATCTTGAACTCATTTGTCTCAATGCTGCATTGTTCATTTCATCTCAATAAAAAACCTTACATTTCCCAAGTTTGAGGTGGTTGCGGTTGGTTATTGCTTACCCATTGTTGTGCATAGTTATATCCTCTGTTAAAGAATCTTTCACCTTGGTCCATATAGTGTCCTGCTTGGTTATAGTAGTCATTTGCTTTGTTATAATAGTTTCCTGCTTGTCTTCCTACATTGTCCATCCATCCTTGAACTTTTCCTCTTGTTTCAGGATTTGGAATAAGATTTGTTGCATCTCGTGCTACATCCCAACCTTTCTGTACAGTTTGTATAATAGGTTGTGCTTTCTCTTTAAGTATACCTAATGTACTCAAAATCTTCCTTCCAATTCCAAATGCACCTCTGGCTATTGTTCCCACTGCGGGTAAAAATCTGGATGCAACTCCTGCTAATGCGCCAAATAAACCCATTTCTTACAGGGTAAAAAATGACGAATCCAAACAAGGACCCCTATGTTTCTAAAGCGACAAAGAAAGCACTCATGATAAAAATCTTTAGTTCAACACCAAATGCTTGGTTTATGGATATCTTGGAAAACATTCCGAGAGTTAGAACAGATGGGCCACCATACTGGTTAATATATGTTGGTCAAAACACAAGATACTGTGAAGCCATATCATTACAGTCCAAAGCTATTTTAGATATCTTAGCAGCTTTGACAATATTCGTTGACAAATACCATCCAACAAAACTGACATCTGACTGTGAAAGTTCTTTCAAATCAGATGATGTAAAAAACTATCTGCGTTCAAAAAATGTAAACCAATATTTCATTGTCGACCAAAACCATTCTGCTCTTGGTGTCATTGACGGATGTATAAAAATGTTAAGAGACTTAAACCAACCACAAGGTGGTGAAGCAAATGAAATGTCATATGACGACAAATATAGACACTTCTCCATGGCAAAGATGAGACAAGTTTTAAATATTTACAATAACCGTAAACAAAAAGGTTTGGGAAACCACTCCCCCGAAGAAATGAAAAACAACCCTGACTTAGAGAAAGACTATATATTTAATAATTTAGTCAAAAGAGACAAACAAGAAAGAATGCCGGGCTTCAAACTTCAGAAAGGTGACAAAGTAAAAATAGAAATACCTAAACGCAGTTAGTATACATATATTGTGTACTGAGGCACTGCGCGCCTCCTTACACATTATATGTGAATTTGACATTTTACAAAACCGTTAACGTATATTTTACAACACAAACACAAACACCAATTTAACCTTAAATATTTATAAAGCCGTCAACCACTTCACCTCACTAACGTTTTCACAAACGACTTCACTACTGTAAAAAATAAACGTTCTCACTTACAAAAGTATTGCAACTCTTCCCATTGCTGTGCTTCACACAATAGTTCATATTCTTCAGTATTGCTGCTGTCGCGCCAATCGTCAGAGTCAAAGTCACTGTCAAAATAAATGTTAGTAAGTTTTGACAAAGCTAATGAAACACGTTTACCGTTTGTATCGTATGCTTGTATAAACTTTCCATTCTTCATTCCTTCATAAACGCTCAAACTAACTTTACCCTTTCTCCCTCGTATCTGATAGAATGTATTTTCACGAGGAACGAAGAACAAATTCTTGAACTCATGACCGTTGTAGTTTGTTATCTCAATAGTTTTCGTCATTTATATAAAAATTAATGATATCACCACCCTCACACGTATGAAAACATAGCACAAAAATAAATTTAGGTGAAGTGGTGAAATCTCACCTCTTTTTTCACCCGGTTTTTCACCCTGTTGAATTCATTGCTTTATAACTCTCTTCCTTTCTCCAACTCTTCTAACTTCTTCTTAAGTTCAGCAATGTTGTCCTCATGAAGTTTAATCTTTCTCAAAATTCCTTCTTTATCTAATGGTTGCTTTATCTTTCTAAACTGAACTCTACCATCCTTCATAGTATGAATGTAAAAACCTTCTGGAATAGTTCCTGATTTAATGTATTCTACCAAAAACTTTTGTTTCATTGCTTCAGTGACTTTATTTGTCATTTCAATCAAATAAAAATTTTAATATTAAATAAAAATAACGTTATTTTTTCAGTAAGGAAACGCAGGAGTTTTATGATTTATTTGAGGAGTAGGTTCTGGTTTAAATGTTGGAGTCGGTTTAGGAGTTGACTTTTGAACAGGAGTTTGTACTTCCATAGGTTCAGGAGTCATTGAAGGTGTTGTTTGTGAAGGCGTTGGTTTTGACGTTGGTTTTGGAGTTTGTTTAACTTCAGCTACTTCAGTATTATTTACAACATTTGCTTTATTTCTTTTCAACATCATAACTGCTCCTGCTGTAGCTAGCAAACCTAGTGGGAGACCATATCTTATATAAGGACTTGACCAAATGCTATTTTTGACAGGAGCTGGTGGAACACCTAACCTTGGTGAGACTGCTCTTTGCCATTGTGCAGCTCGTAAGAAATATTCAATAGGTGCTCCATAATCGTTTGGTAAAGTTTGTTTCATAGATGGTGAAGGTTCACGAGAGCTTGATGAAGAACTCATTTATAAGCTTTAAAATAAACGTTCATCCTTTATTCCTCACTGTCGTCCGTAGCTAAGTTATAGTCATCTAATCTTATTATGGGGATGCCATTAGCACGCACCTGAATGGCAAAGCAACAATCCCTCATAAATCCAATAAGTGGCTTTGGTACATTTTCAGTTGCTAGTTCAATAGGTCCTTTAACAGACAATTTGTATGTTATTGGAGCAGTAGATGTTTGACCTTGCTGGAAGCAAAAGTCCACTTCTGTTGGAAAACCACATAAGAAATGTGTGTTGTCATAGCTATCCCATTTCTGTTCCACACTACCATCATCCACCAATGACCTCATAACATCTTCATTAAATCCTATCATATCATTGTTTGTATTGCAGGCGTTCGCAACCATTTCATAAAATACAGGTCCATATGATTTTTCGGGTTCTGCAGGCATATTTCCATAAGCTCCCATGGAAAGCTGAAGATATTTAAACTTAGGGTTCTCAAAATTAGCATAATAGTTGTCTTTCTTTCTAAATAGTGCCCAAATACTTTTAACATTAATAGGCGTATAAGCTGCTGTAAATGTTGCACTTGAACTATCTGTATTCTTTGAGAATGAACCGTCCATAGGAATCCAATCCATAACTTTAACAGGAAAACATAAAGCCTCGTTTGTATAATGTTCTACAAGTTCTGTATAAATGTTAGGGTCTAAAGAGAATGACTTTGGATGAATAAAACATTCATTAAAATCCATCTTTATTCGAAATAGTTGCTGGGTTACAGTTGTAATAGTAACTGTTCCACTAGCTTCTACTGACTTCGTTATCATAGTGAATGGTTCATTCCATGGAACAAATTTATTTGTCGGTGGATTTGAATCTGAAGCAAATGCAACTTTAAGAGTTGGATTGAAAGCAATGATATCATTTACAGATATAGATGTGCATTGTAAGGCGTCGCTACTGAACTTTACTTTAAGCTGAATGTTTCCTGAAAAAGCTGGAATAAATCGAATAGCTTCTAATGGAAGGAATCTTCTAACAGGAATTCTTAAACGAAGCTTAAAATCAAATGATTTTCCTGCTGTAATTGGACCACTAACAATTTGTCCTGTTCTGCATGTTCCCGAATGACTCCATACATCTTCATGTCGAGTCTTTGAGAAAACATCTACTTTCTTTATTTGTTCGGTAGTTTGTGAGTTTGAAGTTATATATGCTTCTTCTCTTGCGTTGTCTTGAGAATATACGATACGACCATTTGCAAGGATTTGATATCCAGCAACTGCATAGAAAGCGTCATCGAAACCAATCCAAAATCCTGGTGGGTTTGTTTTATTGGAACCTGAACCAATTTCTTTATCTGCAATAAATTGACCTTCCATTTTATACGTAATGAATGTATTGTAAAGGTCCAACATATTTTCACCAGGAGGTGAGAGATTGAATGTTACCCATGTGTTATCTTTAGCAGTTCCAGGTTGTGATGGAATCTTTGCGTCAGAATATTTTCTATTAGTGTCACCAATTTGAACTGCATTGTCTATGATATCGAAATATGAGCGAATCTGATGAATATGCTCTGCTGGAGTAAATTCGTTTAGCTGTTCGTTCTGCATGTATTTACTTCAGATAAAAATATCTATTTACTTCATTATTCTCACTCTTCTTCTTGGCATTCGTGGTGGAAGTTGTTTCTTGACATTTTCAATGAACTGTACATTCTCTTTTGTCTCAACTTCTTTCACTGGCGGGTCAGGATTCTTTGACTCGGTTTGTTTTTCAATGAAATTCACGAACTTTGCAATAAGCTCTTGGTTCGTTATTGAAAGTACATCTGGCTTCTTTTCTTCTGGTTCTATTGACTTTTCAGTTTGAATAGAAGGCTTAACATGGGCTTCGCCCTCGGTGCCATGCACCTTAATACTGTCGCTTTCTGCATTCGCTAATGGAACCTTTCTTTTTCTTACGTATATTTTACCATCTTTACTCTGACTTACGTAATAGAAAGGATGTTGTATTCCTCTTGCGTCATTTAATATAATAGACTCTCGCTCTGATTTTGACAAGCTCATTTTACATCGGTTAAAGTTTTAATTTTGTTTTTTCTCTGCAGTCAAATGACTCAGACAAACCCTACGGACAAGACCCAAGGGGTCATAGATGTTGAAGCATTGAAGAAAGAAATTCGTGAGCAAATTTTATCCGAACTGAAGGAACAAAAACAAGAACAAAAGCCAGAGAGACCAAAGAGAAAACTTAGTGAAAAACAACTTGCTGCATTAGCTGCTGGAAGACAAAAGAACCCACGTTTGCTGGCGAAGAAAGCTAGAGAAGAAGCTGAAGCAAAAGCTAGAGAAGAAGCTGAAGCAAAGAAAGAGTAAATGTGTTATTTTTATCGGAACTAAATGTATAGACAAATACCTTTATCTGTTGCGTTCAGTAGTGAAAACCCTGACGTCAAAATAAAGGGGAACAGAGTAACGTTTAAGTTTCCAACAGACTGGATTGTGAACATAAATGAAGAGAAGTACATTGGCATAACATCTATGTATATAACACGTGCTTTCAGAAAGGTTGACTTTATACTTCAAGTCGAGATAGAAAATGACGAACAGTCTTTAAGCGCCCAAAACATTCACATATACAAATACTTTAAAGATAGTACGACGTTAGAAGACTGTATAATTACATTTTACGAAAATTTTCAAAAGAAGTTTAACATGGATTTAGAAAAATTAAAACCTTTAGGTGATTTTCTTGCAGAACTGAAAGAAGAAGGAATTGTAGAAAGATTAATATCTTTTCATTACGAGTTTGTACCAAATGAAGATGGAACTCATGACTGTCAATTCATTGTATTCTCACCATTCAATGAAGTAGCTAAAAAGAAAGAAAATCCATTACGTATAAGATTTCAAATCTCTGAACCCAATGAAGACTTCAAAAATGTTTTCAATTATGATGCAATGCTTCCGAGGAAAAATGATTTTTCCGAAATTAGATTTCCAGGCATTTGGGATAGAAAGCAAGCTATATTATATTCAAACTTAAGTAAGGGAGTTGAAAATGAGTTCATTGGTCATACAAGAACTTCACCACATCCTAACCCTAAATACTATAAATTAACTGGCTTCAATCGTGAGTTTTGGATAGACATGTTCTCCACTCATGACCATAACTGCCCAATGTTCTTACCTCCAGATGGGAAAGATTGTCTCTACATTGAAGCACAACTCTTAAATTCTACAATTGCTGTATTGTAAATGACCTCATGGGCTTCGCCCTTGCCGCTAGCGGCTTATTTTTATCACGAATGACCTCATTGCTGACAAAAATAAATGACCTCAGAACTTCAACTTACGAATAAAGCTTGTTTTAGTCGTTATTGAGAAGTTAAACTTTTCAGCAAAGCAAGGACTAGAAGACTTACATAAGTCAAATCCAATCTCTTGACCGTCATAAAGTGCTTTGTAAAGTTTCATTAAACTGAACTCAGAGTCTTTGTCATATGTTCCAACAGGTATGTGAATGTTCTTATCTTCATTGTAATAGCATTGTATAGCTTCAGGAAACATTTCATTTGCTGTTAAATCAAGGACGTCTTGTTTTACACCTTTACAACGTGCATGAAATGCAACTTCATTTAAATCGTTAGTGAGTAAGTCTATGTAGGTCTTCTTTCCACAAAATGTTGACTTGTATGCTAAACTTTGTTTTCCAGGTGTTATTTCTGCGAAGTCAGAATGAAATTGACCAAGGTTCTTTCCTATAAGTTCTCTACCGTATCTCTTCTTAAACTCTGCTGCAAGCTTTGGTATGTCTTCATTGAAAATATGCATGCTATCACAGTCCTGGTAAAATATTTGAAGACCCATATCTTCAGCAGTACAGAATACTTCACACATTATTCTCTTCGACATAGATAAGATATTAACACCAAGTGGACAGAAGTTAAAGTGTCTGCAAATGCTTTTCGTTAGCTTGAAAATAGTTTTATCTGAACCATCCAAACCTTCGAACTTCACTATATGGTTGTAGTTTCTGATGGCATATCTTATAGCATCTTTGTCATTTACTATGGTTATTTTTGACTCAATAGGAGATAGAATAGTTTTGCCATAAATACTGTTCAGAATGAGCTTTATATTTTCTTGCAAAGGATTTCCTTCTTTCTTATACTTTAACCTTAACTCAAACAACTTCTTTACTTCATCTCTTATTCTAATATCTCTGTTTCCATCGTAATAGTATCCTTGCAACACTTCACATTTGACACTTTGATATTTTATGAGGTCTTGTAATGTTATATGGTCAACATACATTAAACAGCAAGTGTTTGAACTTCTGGGAACGTTAAGTTCTGGATTTAGTTCAGGGTCACAAACTATTAAAGGAAAGTGTCTATGTATTCCAATCTCTGTTATCTTAATGAGAACAAAGAAGCCAGACATAAACTTTTCACCAATGGGTTCCTTTTGGTCGTCATCGAATAAATGTCTCATGAGATACTCTGTGCTTAACATTTCTTTCTTCATAACCTTTGGAATACCTTCTAAAGTATAAAGTCTTGCTATAGCTGATGGATATAATGAAACAGCGTCGAAATCAGCAATGAGTTTCTCTTTACTCTTTTGTTTAATGTTATCTGACAGCATACATCTTCCACCTTGAATACAGCGTGAAATAAATTCTCTTGGTTTATTTGAGAGGTCATATAAATTTCCATTCGGGAAGTACACTCTGTTCTCAAATAATTTGTTAGCAATAGAACAAATACTAACGTAGTCATAAACGTTTAAATCAAATTCTTTCAATATGTCATTGCGGAACTTAACAAAACCTTCTCTTAAAATTCTTACATCTTGTTTGCAATAAAATGTGCTATACTTTTCTAAGTCGAAGTGGCTCTCATCTATTCTGCAACCTTTGATGGAATCTATGTTTTTCATGAATGTATCCGCATCCTGGATAAACTTACACGCTTCAGAAATGACACCAGTTCTGTTGTCATTTGCTAACAAAACACTGCTGTAGTAGTTGTATGGAAATACTTCTTTCGGTCCTGTTTGTAAGTTAAACATAGCAGGAAATAGTTTAAGCTTCTTATTTATAACACTGTAAGAGTCTTTTATAATAATTGCCCTTCCTTTATATAAGCCAGTTATTTGCATTGTTCGTGAACCTTTAATGATGGGAGTTCCTTTCACTTCTGTCATGTGTCTTAAGATGAAGTTTATATCATAACTGAGGTTCTGGAAATATATTAAACTCTTGTCAGGAAGTCGTTCCAAAAATTCTGTTGCACAGTTCTGACCCCAAATGCTTTCACTCACTGAACCATCTTCACCGTCATAACAAATGTTAAAAGCTTTATGAAAGCCATCGGTACTGCACTCAAAGTCAGCAAAGAAAACGTGCTCAGGAATGAACTTACATTTAGCTTTATTTACTTCTTTTGACTCGGCTTTCTTCTTCAGTTGTACACAATACTTTGGAGCATATGTCAAATCTTTAAATGGTGCAAGGTTCTGTTTATATAAGTCAGTCGTATATGTGAAAAGTTCTCCATAAGAAATAGGTTCGAAATATTTGCACTCCCACAATGTTTTCATAACATCCCATAACGGTGTTGTTCTATCATAACGAACAATATATTTGTTCTCTCTCTTTGTATAAATCTTCATCTGTTTCTCAATGTTCATTCCACCACACTCCTTCAAGATTTCTATATAGTTGCGAATGAAATATGTTGTCATTGGTAATCTTTCATTTAGCATGTAGTGGTCTTCAACAAGAAGTAAGTCAATAGTTCGAACAGTTTCACATTCTTTTGGTATATATCTCTTTATTTCATTATGTCTTGAGTCATTGAAGTAACCAATGGTAACATTAAATGCTATACCTGTTGCATCAGAAATTTCTTGTACTTTACTTTGAGGAAAGTCTCTAACACGAATGACTTCTCTCATGTGGTCAATAGTCTCTCCATCTACTCCAGCCTGAATGCAAGCATAAACGAAACAATTGTCTTCTGTCATAAGTGCTGCAGTTCTTTTGTTAAGTTCATTGAAGATTTGGTAGCGCTCAAGATTTATAGGTAATGTGCAAAGATACTTCCAGAACTGACCGCTTCTCTTCTTATAAAACTTCTTTTCACCATTATCTTTCCAAAAGCTTTCTATAAGTGCTGGGTTTCCTGTTTGCTTAAGAGCTTCCAAAATGGCTTTCTGGTCATTTGTCAGTGTGCTTTCATCTCTATATGGTCTCTTTTTTGGCTTTCCTTTCTTTACATCTGACATCGTTAAGCCTTCATATTCTGTTAAATCATACATCTTTATTTCGGTAAGATTCTTTATGTTTGTCAAGAAGAAGTCATAGTGCACGTCTATGATATAAGTCAATAGCAACGTCATTTAAAGGAAATGCTCTTGCATGGACTTCGTCCTCGCCGCGTTGCGGCTTTATGAACTCATGAATTCTATCATAACTTATTGCACCATTATAGTCATTGAGGATGTCAGCGAGTGCTTTTTTGTTTGTCGCGTAATGAATTGCAACATCTATGTTAGCTTCTGTAAGAAGTTGTTTTATTTCCGAGTGTTCTAACTTAGACAACTTCCGATACATCTTTAGTAGGAAATAAAAAAATATTTTTTGAAAAAATTAGATTAGATTTTTTAAGTTATTTTTCAAAATAATTTAATATTTTTATTTTAATGAAACACATGCAAGATTGCAAGTTCTTTTCATACAATGCTCTCGCTACTGCCATCAAGAATGAGTTCAATGGTGCTTCAAATGTTAATGTTATCTTTAACAAGAAGTTTGTGAAAGAATCTAAGTTTGGTCAGTATGTCAGACCATTAGCTATCGTCATTGACCGCAAACGTTATACTTCACAAGAGTTAGCAGTAGTTTTGAAACAAAAGAGTTTCTTCGTGAATGTCAAAGATACACACTATACTGTCATAAAGAACTCTAACATTGACTTCTTCAGTATTGCTTTAAATCTTTCCGAACAGAAAGAATATAAGAAGGCGCCTTGCGCCGAGATGGACTCAAAGAGCCCTCCAGGTGAAACAAATGTGAAATATTATCCTTCATCTCTGAAGACAATAACGAACAAAGATGTTATACAGAAATTCTTACCAAAGGTTGAAGAAGCTTCTATTGACATTGACGAAGGAAGTGAAATGGTTGAAGAAATTGACCCTGAAGCTTTATAAGAAAATTTATTTTTGAATAACTGATGGTGTCACCACGTCACCATGTCACCAGGTTAATTAACTTCTTTTAAAAATGATGACAACATGACATTTTGACAACAGTCCTGGAAACAAATGTTTACGTTAATGTTTTCACGAATGTTTTCAGTTGTGATGGAATATATCTAACCCTCCCGTTAACTAATAAACTTGACGATCAGACGATTCTCTCTTCGTCGATTATGATCGACATGGAGCGTTTATGGAAACAATTAAATGGTAAAAACAAAATAAACTTGACGATCAGACGATTCTCTCTTCGTCGATTATGATCGACATGGAGCGTTTATGGAAACAATTAAATGGTAAAAACAAAATAAACTTGACGGAGTGTTTTGTTTTTATCATGGTTTTCTCCACTATGGTCCTAATGTGGCACCCGACGAGATTTTTTTTCATTCTTCCTCTTTGAAGTTATCGAAATATTCTGTTATTTTTTCCTTCAGTAATGTTAAGTCTTCTTTGAATGTAAGTATTGTACAACCTTTGATGTCATAGTGTGTTTGAGGAAGAGTATTTTTGACAATTTCCTTTATTTGTTCATTCGGTGTCATTGAAATCGGTAAGTTTTCACGATAGAACCAGTTTCTGTCAGATTTATATATCTTAGCTAAGTCATAAAAGCTCTTGTTGTTTCTTCTGACTAAATGTAACATAACCATATCTTTATCTTCTTCTTTCTCCAACTCTTCAGTATATATCATATACTTATAACTCTTTTCCTTTCCTTTTGGTACTGAACGCGGTATTCTTTTCTGTATGCTTTTGTCTTTGGATTCAATGACTTCATCTTTTGCTTGAAGTTTCTTTTCCAACTCTCCACGTTCTGCTTTATATAATTCATCTAACATCATGAAAATATAACAAGCATAACGAGGTGAAGTCCACATTGCTACAGCATTTACTAAAAGTCTATGAACATAATAACCTTTCAAACCAGGAGCCAAATTCTTGCGATTTTCGTATGGAATCTCTTCCCTCAGTTTTCCGAGGGAAGCAATCATATGAGAAAATTCTTCTAAGAGTTCTTTTGTCTGTTGGTTTTCAAACCAATGATATGCTTGCTTTGTAGAACGAAGAGCATTCATTATACTCTTTGCATTTGGTACATATGTCTTTGACTGAACGAATGAGACGTAACTGTTTGTTATACTGTATGTACTCGTATTCTTCATTTATAGCTTCATGGACTATAACTGTTGTTGTGTTCTCTGATGTTGACATTACTGTCTTTACATACAAAATAAAAAAATAAATAAAAATAAAACTAACTTTATTTTTATCTTTTATGAAAATTCATGAAATTTGGTCATTTTTCAGCAAAAATATAATTTAGGTGAAGAGGTGAGATTTCACCTCTTTTTTCACCTCTTTTTTCACATGTTTTTTCACCTCTTTTTTCACAAGCGTTTTACATGAATTGTACGATGTATATTTGAAATCCTAAACAATTTCGTAGCTTCTATTTCTTCTTTTAGTACATTGAATGTTTTAATCATGCCGAAAGTCTCTTTATATTGTTATATACGAAAACGATAAAAACAGTTTGACAGAAAAGTGACACCTTTACGTGTCAAAAATATAAAAAGTGATATTTTATTCATCATTATCTTCTTCATAATTTATTTCATATTCTTCGTCTTACCAACAAAAGATGGGAATGTGAACAATTGCGGGCAATTTTTAGCCATTTTGGTTGGAACTAGAGCCTGCGATACATGGATAGTATCAGTACCTCACAGGCTCTAGTTCTCTATATGGCCGCCGAGAAATTTTGGTGAAATGTGGTCGCATTTCACCAAATTTTTTCGGCGCCATAGGATGAATTGGAGGGTGAGAGATATTATTTATACAATACTACTCTCACCCTCCAATTCCCAGCCAAAATGGCTAAAAATTGCCGCAATGTGAACAATTGCGGGCCAATTTTAGCCATTTTGGCTTGGAACTAGAGCCTGCGAGGTACATGGATAGTATCAGTACCTCACAGGCTCTAGTTCTCTATATGGCGCCGAGAAATTTTGGTGAAATGTGGTCGCATTTCACCAAAATTTTTTCGGCGCCATAGGATGAATTGGAGGGTGAGAGATATTATTTCATACAATACTACTTCACCCTCCAATTCCCAGCCAAAATGGCTAAAAATTGCCCGCAATGTGAACAATTGCGGGCAATTTTTAGCCATTTTGGCTTGGAACTAGAGCCTGCGAGGTACATGGATAGTATCAGTACCTCACAGGCTCTAGTTCTCTATATGGCGCCGAGAAATTTTGGTGAAATGTGGTCGCATTTCACCAAAATTTTTTCGGCGCCATAGGATGAATTGGAGGGTGAGAGATATTATTTCATACAATACTACTCTCACCTCCAATTCCCAGCCAAAATGGCTAAAAATTGCCCGCAATGTGAACAATTGCGGGCAATTTTTAGCCATTTTGGCTTTGAACTAGAGCCTGCGAGGTACATGGATAGTATCAGTACCTCACAGGCTCTAGTTCTCTATATGGCGCCGAGAAATTTTGGTGAAATGTGGTCGCATTTCACCAAAATTTTTTCGGCGCCATAGGATGAATTGGAGGGGAGAGATATTATTTCATACAATACTACTCTCACCTCCAATTCCCAGCCAAAATGGCTAAAAATTGCCCGCAATGTGAACAATTGCGGGCAATTTTAGCCATTTTGGCTTGGAACTAGAGCCTGCGAGGTACATGGATAGTATCAGTACCTCACAGGCTCTAGTTCTCTATATGGCGCCGAGAAATTTTGGTGAAATGTGGTCGCATTTCACCAAAATTTTTTCGGCGCCATAGGATGAATTGGAGGGTGAGAGATATTATTTCATACAATACTACTCTCACCCTCAATTTTAATTACTTAAACTCATTCTATTTTTTTGACATGTAAATGTCACTTTTACTGAGATCTGACACAATGTCAGATCTCTTTTTTTCGTATATAAGAATATTTCTTCTTGACGTCAGACAGAAGGAAATCTTCTGCTGTTGGATAGTTTTTATTAAGAAATGTCAACATATCCATTTTATCTTCTGCTGGCTTTTCTGCTTCTTTCTTTAAGTCTGCATAGTCGTTTCGCATTCTTTCTATCTCTTTGACTGAGTAGTTATATTTTCTTATTGCTGCTTTACATTTTGAACATTGCGGCATCGTTTTTGCGTTATACATTGAAACATTACAGCTAAACAACTAAAGCGTCAATTGCTCTCTTCATCTCAAACATAGCGGGTCTTATTTGTTCGTTCCATACTTTGCCTCTTCTATCTTTATCTCTTATTTCCCAAACACATTTTGCAACTAATGAAACAAAGTTATCGTATGTCTTAAATTCTTCGGATTTGTAAAGGTCAGAAATATTTTTATAAACCATGTCGCAATCTTTGTCCATAACTTTATGGTTGCAATGAAAACCAAGGAATTCATAATTTACTTTACGTATGAATTTCTTAATTTCTACTGAGTCAGTTGCTTTGACTTCAATTTCGTCGAATTCAGGAATAGTTAGTTTTTGCTGCTGAATTTCAGGTAGTTTAGGCAAATGGTCGATGAGGTCCTCCATTTCATAAAGATACTGTTCATTTGTTTCATCTTTCGCACTACAGTCTAAATTACTTGTTAAAAGTTCTTGCTTTATCTTCTGGATTTCTGTTTCAAAGTATATGAAGAAGGAATAAAGCTTTTCATCTTCCAACATTGACGTAGGATTCATGACTAACGAGTTTGGTGCTGTAGTTGTGGACAGAGTCCCGCCGTTCGCAGCTTGAATTGTTGTTGTGCGGATTGTTGAAATCATATCTTTTATACAAAATAAAAAAAATAAATAAAAATAAAACTAACTTTATTTTTTCTATCTTAAGGAAATTCATGAAAATTCACGAGGGTGAAAAAACAGGTGAGATTTCACCACTTCACCTAAATTTATTTTTGTCTGATTTGCATCTAATGAAAAAGTTTAGAAGAATTTTCTTATTCTTTCTGGCATATTTTTGTCTTTCCAGTACTCCCGCTCTAATGGTCCCAGATGTGTTGGCTTCGACTCTCTCAAGTTC